CCCCCCGCCGCCGCCCCTCCTGCGGCTGCTGCGGGGGCCGCCGCCTCTGTTCGGGCACCGGCCCGCGGCCCGCGGGAGACAGGGGGGCGGGGAGGGGGGCGGGGAGGGGGGCGGTGGGAGGCGGGCAGTGGGCCCCGCCTCCTCCAGCACAGCCCGCTGAAGGGAAGACCGGGTATCCGCTCTCCCCTGGGGCCCGCCCTGACGGAAGCCCAGCGCGTGGGATCGGAGCGTGAGCGCAAGGTGACCAGACAGGTGTGAAGGTGGGGATAAGAACCCGGGTGGCGAGAGTGTTCTGACTTCTCCAGGTTCCGCCGGGACGTAGGACTCTGGCGGCCCACCGGCGCCCACAAGGAGACTACACTTCCCGGAGTGCTCAGCGGCGGCGGGAGTCCTCCGCTCATGCGTTTCGCGTAGCCCGCCGGGCTAGGGTGGGAGGGGCTGCAGCGCGGCGCTCTGGGAGTGGTGGACTGGGGGCCGGCGGACCCGGAGGGAGGGGTGGGAAGGTCCGTGTCCCAGAAGTGACGTATGCTGTGTGCGCCGTGACGCTCCGGCGTGGACTCTGCCCCGCGGGAATAAGGTCGATTCAATTAGTGTCCAGCATGAGTGACTGGGTTCCAGGCAATGCCGTTGGGACGCTGCACAAGTCGTCCAGCTGAAGGAGGAGTCCCGTTGAACTGACTCTTCTCACGGTAACGTGTCCTCCCCAACCCTGCTTCCACCTCCAGACCCTTGAGGTATCATTCTAGCCTTCTCCGACACTGGCGGTGCTCAGTCCGGCAGAGCAGGCCTCTGGGCTGTGTGTGGGATATTCCTTAGAGATGGACGTCTTCCTTCTCCCTTTCCACCTCCCAGGCACCCAGCCCATTTTGTGTAGTGTAACAAGTTATGTTGGATTTTTTGAGTTCAAAGCATTGAATCCTTAATGGTTTGTTTTGTTTTTGTTTTCCCTGGTTGAATTTGAGTTGTTTTCTGGATGTGTTTGAGTATGTAAAAGTTCTCCCTATGGAAGAGGATATTAAAATCCTTAGGATGTTAATTTAGTGGTCTTTAAGTCAGAGTACTAAGGATTTTGTATAGTTCGGTGCGTTAACTTTTAGGGAGCTGAAGGTCGGTGTGGGTAGGGCATTTAGATTTTCATGCCATTGAACAGTGGTCTCCCTTTGTTAATTCCACAGATATTTATTGAGCGCTGTTCTAGGTACTGGGGATATCATCAATGAACAAAACAAACACAAATCGCTCGTTTTTGGAGTTTGCATTTTGGAGAGAGATAGGCAATGAGTCAAAAGCCTGGTATATCAGAAGGTGAAGAGTGTCGGTGGGGGTAGGGAGCTGCAGTTTTACAGCGGGTGGTCAGGGTGGTCAGGGAAGGCCTGGCTGAGAAGGTAATTTTTGAGTAAAGACCTGAAGGAAGTGAGAGAGCTAGTCCTGTGGCTATCTGAGGGAAAGAAAAGTGCAAAGGCTCTGAGGGAGCCTGCATGGTGTGTCCGAAGAGCAGCCTAGGAGGCCAGTAAGTTAGAGCAGGGTGAGATAGAGAATTATAGAAGATAAAGTCAGACAGATTGTGTAGGACCTTGTAGGCAATTTTGAACATTTGGGTTTTCATTCTGAGGGAGGTGGGAAGCTACTGGAGAGGTTTGTCAGGGAAACACCATGATCTGAATGATCTTTAAAAAAAAAAATTGTAAAATGTATATAACAAAGTTTGCTAATTTATCTATTTTTTAAGTGTACGATTCAGTGACATTAATTACACTCACTGTCACACAACCGTCACCGTTATTTCTAAAACTTCTTCATCACCCCATGCAAACTCTGTAACTGGTTAATTAAGCAATAACTCCCCATTGCCCCCTCTGCCCAGCCCCTGGTAACCTCTGGTATACTCTCTATGAATTTGCTTATTCTAGATAGTATATACAAGTGGAATCATAATATTGGTCCTTTTGCATCGGACTTATTTCACTCAGCATAATGCTCTCAAGGTTCATCCATGTCGTACCATGTATTAGCACTTAATTTCTTTTTATAGCTGAATACTGTTTCGTTCTGTGTATATACTATATTTTGTGTATCCATTCATCTTTTTTTTTTTTTTTTTGCGGTACGCGGGCCTCTCACTGTTGTGGCCTCTCCCGCTGCGGAGCACAGGCTCCGGACGCGCAGGCTCAGCGGCCATGGCCCACGGGCCCATCCGCTCCGCGGCATGTGGGATCTTCCCGGACCGGGGCACGAACCCGTGTCCCCTGCATCGACAGGCGGACTCTCAACCACTGCGCCACCAGGGAAGCCCTCCATTCATCTTTTGACAGACAGTTGGGTTTTTTCCCCCTTTTGGTTATTGTGAATAATGGTGCACTGAACATTGGCTTACAAGGATCTGCTTGAGTCCCTTTTTCCAATTCTTTTTTGGTCTGTACCTAGGAGTGGACTTGCTGGATCATATGATAATTCTATGTTTAGCTCTTTTTTTTTTAATTTTTAAAATTTATTTTATTTATTTTTGGCTGCGTTGGGTCTTCATTGCTGCGCACGGGCTTTCTCTAGTTGCAGGGAGCGGGAGCTACTCTTCGTTGCGGTGCGCAGGCTGCTCACTGTGGTGGCTTCTTTTGTTGCAGAGCACGGGCTCTAGGTGCGCAGGTTCAGTAGTTGTGGCTCATGGGCTCAGTAGTTGTGGCGCATGGGCTCAGTTGCTCCGTGCCGGACCAGGGCTCGAACCCATGTCCCCTGCATTGGCAGCTGGACTCTCAACCACTGCGCCACCAGGGAAGCCCAAGGGTGGAGTGTCTTTTTTTTTTTTTTTTTTTTTTACTTTTCGGTACGCGGGCCTCTCACTGTTGTGGCCTCTCCCGTTTTGGAGCACAGGCTCTGGATGCGCAGGCTCAGCGGCTATGGATCACTGGCCCAGCCGCTCCGTGGCATGTGGGATCCTCCTGGACCGGGGCACGAACCCACGTCCCCTGCATCGGCAGGCGGACTCTCAACCACTGCGCCACCAGGGAAGCCCTGGAGTGTCTTTTAAACACTGGGAAGAGACAATGGAAGGAGTGGAAATGGAGACAATGGAAGGAGTGGAAACGGAGATGCTAGTATAGATGAGTCTTTTGAGTAGTTTTTCTGTAAAGAGGAGAAGAATGGAGCAGTTAGTGAAGTCAAATTTGTTTGATTTTTTTTAATGATGGGAGAAATTGCATATGCTTATATACTAATGGGACTTTGGGACTTTTCTGGTAGACTAGTAGAGAGGGAGAAATTGATGATGCAGAAGAGAGGTGAAAAATGCCCTTGACTAGATGAGAGGATATGGAATCTAGTGCACACAAGGAGGGGCTGGATTTAGGAGCACAGATAAGTCATGGGGGATATCTATCTACCTATCTACCTACCTCCATAATAGCATGGGCCAATTCCCAATTTTTATATCTATACCTATACCTGTCTATATATGTAATATCTGTCTATCTATCTAGTATACAGATGGCAAGCTGGAGACCTGGGAGAGCCAGTGGTATAGTTCCAGTCTAAGTCTGGCCTGAGAACCAGGAGAGCAGACACTACTTGTTTCAGTCCAAGTGTGAGTCTGAAGGCAGGAGACTAATGTCCTAGCTTAAAGGCAGACAGAAAGAGTGAGTTCTCCCTCACTCAGCCTTTTTGTTATAGTCAGGCCGTCAACAGATTGGATGAAGCCCACCCACATTGGGGAGGGCAGTCTGCTTTACTCAGACTGCTGATTCAAATGTTAGTCTCATCCAGAAACACCCTCACAGAAATGCCCAGAATAATGTTTAAATATTTGGGCACCCTGTGGCCCATTCAAATTGACACAGTAAAATTAACCATCACAATAGAGTATATGGGCATAGATACAATTATGTGAATAAATTTCAGGGTAGGAGCTTGTGGACGTTCTTTTTTGATTGCTTAAGTGAAATCTGAAGCATGGTTGTCAGCTGGGAGGGATAATGGGAGGAAATATGATAGGTTTAGGTAGACAAGAGAAGGTATAGTTGGCTTAGAAAGAGAGGATAGTAAATAGATTAGGGAAAAGTTGTAGAATGGCTAGGAAGACTAAGAGTTCACTTGAAGTTGGTGGTCACAAATTTAAACACATCAGTCAACAAGATTGTGTTTTTCACCTGCTACATTCATTCAGCTACATAGGTATAGGCACAGAGTAGGCAGAGAATTTGTTTTGTTCAGGGTTAAAGTTTTGCCAGGAGAGAATAATGAAACCAGAGATGGGCAGTGAAATTGGGGAAGTAGGCAAGGAAGTGGTTATAATTTTGCAATTAAACTGGCCAAGGAGGAAGTAAGGACTACCTGGGGGTGAGGAGAGTGCAAAGGTAGTAGGACCGTTGGATTATAGGCCCCAGGTGGATCAAAAGATTGAGTTTCTAGAGGGAATGAGCTTCAAAAATAGGAGATGTTAATTTGAGAGTGAGATGCTTGGAATTGAGATTA